TGGTGAAACATCCAAACATTTAGTATCTCTGAAAAGCCCTGAATGTGCTCTGTACAGGACATCCAGACTTAAAACTGTGGCATGTATAGTCTCAGAGAAATTCACTAAAATATAATGTCCTCATATGAGGATGCAGGGTCTCAGGAGGTTAATGCTCACCCTATTTTGGGTAAAAATAGGAAAGATAATACTTTTCTTAAAAGAAACAGGATTCCCTGAATTATCGTCATTGATATCGTTATCGTAATAAATACCAGAAATATCGTGATATATTTTAAAGCCCATATCGCCCATCCCTAGTCATCAATGACAGTAGCTCATTGGAAAAGGATGGAAAATGCCCTTCATTGTGTTTGCACTAATAAATGCTGCTGCCTGCCAGCTGCAATCACCAATAAAACGTTGTTCCCTATTTCTTTTCTATATCGTCATAAATATCATTATTGCAAACATTCTTGAAATATCGTGATATAATTTTGAGGCTATATTGCCCACCCCTAAGGTGGGCCAGAGCATGATTCAGTTAGGCTCGGGCACGGTACACATGTAGTGTGATCGCTAACCGCGCCGAAGCACAGAATAGCTACTATTTTGTGTGTGCTACTGTCATCATTACGACCGCAAACATCTTCTATTACTACTACTACAGTACACTTTTCAATTAAAGTAAATCAAGTATATTTAGGTTTATAATGGTCTAGTTCTCACCTTATTGATGAACAGGAATTGTAGTTTGTGAGTAAAGCTTCAAATAATTTTGTTAACGTCATAACGTCAAATTCTTTCATTAACTGCCTCCGTAATGATCATCTGATACATGCAAGTGAAAATGGCTGCATGGCATAAATGATAAATTTATTAGCAGGGCTCTACGCTTACTTTTCTTTTTAGGAGCACTTGTGCTCCTAATTTAAAAAAGTTAGGAGCACAGTCAAAAATTTAGGAGCACCTTCTAATCAATAATCCAAAATTTGATAAAAAAAATTAGCCTTCCCATTACGAGGTGATATTTGACTCCTTAAAGCGATTTACAGTGGAAATTTGTTTTTACCTTTGTAATGGCATTTTTTTTACTTTATTAAAAGTGTCATCTTTTGTCAAATAAAAAAAATATATATATTTTATAAGCTTTTTAAAAATTCTAATTAAAACGACAGAATAAGAATAAGAAGAATAAGTTACCAATCAAATTAACTCTGTATTAACTAAATTAATTTGTACAGAGGTGGCACAGAAGAACACAAAAGTGGCTTGTAGGTGTATTTTCAGACATTTAACGAGGCTATACTTTAAAAATGAAACTAAAACTGCCAGCAGGTGGCAGCAAGTCACTGATTTTATCACTGAATCATTAATTCAATTGATTTGTTTGAACGGCTGATTCATTCAGGAACGAAGCAAGTGACTGTCTTTATGAATGGGTAATCATGAATCACTGACTCACTAGATTCATTTAAAAACACACGTTCATTCATAAATGAAACACCGCTGTGTTTGAATAGAGATGCGCAGCGGCTCAGCTGTTACTTTGTTTCAAACTATTTTCGACGACGAAATAGAGCAAAATCAGCGATAATCACGCTCGGTTCAAGGCAACTGTGCCTAGTGCGAGTACACCCTCAGAATAAGAACAAGGCTCATAAATGATAGAGGATAGCGCCACCAAGCCACATCCTAACACTGAATATTAATACAATTTTGCCCATTTTTCTCTAACTATATGGCAGAACATGCGACATATGATAAATGTTTTAAATAACTACCTTCTCCAGCTGCCTCTTCTTCATCTTTCTCATCATCATCATCTTCATCATCTCCACTGCCACCAGCGTCGTCGCCAGAATCACTGCTTCCTTCGTCCAGAATTTCTGAGGTACGAAAACAATACATGTTTATAATAAAAAATTTTTGAAAGCCTGCAAAAACGGAGGGGCAAATGAGTTGCATTACTGTAAAGAACTGTAAAAGTCTCTATCGATTAAACTTTCATCCTACTTGGGACTCATTTGGATTTTACTTTAGGAAAAAGTGACAAGCGTAACACACAAACACACTCTTGTCTTTGCCCAGGTCTCCCGTTGGCATCGTAGGTCACAACTATGTTCTGTCACTTTCTCCACTGCTGAACAACTGCATTAGCTTTGCTTCTCAAGCCGTAAATGGAGTAATCATCTTCGCATCAGAGGACAAGCATCTCCAATTGTTGCAATCAAGGGCCACAATTTCAGCTTCCTGTACCATATGGCTGTCTCCAGTCCATTGTACAATTAGTACACAATTAAAATTCAAATGTGCTAGCAGAGACCTTTTTTTATTAGGCAGTAATGAGAAGAACGCAGAATGCGTACAGCAAAAGAGTCATTAACTCACCCCGTTTAATTGCTTTGTACTTCTCCTCGTTCTCCAGGAAGTTGGGATCCAACTTGAAGACATCTGCAAAAGGAATATTGTTGATGTAAAGCAGACATTCATTTGCAATTACACGTTTCGCAGCAATTAAGTCAGTGCCAACGAGATGTAATCAGAGGCAATTACCCATAAAGAAGAATTTGCTGTGTATTAGCCATAATGCATAGAGCTTAATGTGATAATGGCTGTTCATGCTTCCCAAAGGGCCACGTGTATGGATTTTCAATTAGCGCACTTTGTCTTAGAAGCCTCAGAAAAGATGCTTATCCCTAAACATCAGCAAAGACAGTGGCTAAATATGAGAACCGAGAGAGCAAAACCCTCAATTACACACAGACAGAGCAAGGACTGCAGCCTCTGGTTTGAGAGCATGCGTTCCCTCTTGGGTGGATTTAGAGAGAAGGAAGCCATCCATTATGATCATATCAAGGTAATTAGCTGCTAAACATGAGAAATTGAGGCCTGGCAGGTTAGGTGAGAGAGATACTGAATCGTACTCACTCAACACCTTCAGCAACAATGATGAAAACAGGAACAGTTTTAAACAAAACAGTGGAAATTAGAAACTTAAAACATGTTTCATCATGACTGATACATTTACGAATTAAAACTACATTACCATTTGAAAGTTTGTGGTCGGTAGGATTTTCTTTGAAAGAAAATAATATTTTTGGTTCAAAAGGGATACATTAAATTGCTCAAAAGTGACAGTAAAGACATCCAAAAAAATCTATTTCAAGTAAATGCTGTTCTTTTGACCTTTCTAGTCATTAAAGAATCCTGAAAGAATGTATCACGGTCTCCACAAAAATATTAACAGCACAACTCTTTTAAATATTAATATGAAGAAATATTTCTGAGTTGCTGAAAAGTCAGCTGTCATGACAAGAGTAAATTACATTTTATACATTAAAATACAAAGCACTATTTACAATATAACTCTTTTTTACTTTATTTCTGATAAAAAAGGGCTTTGAGGTTGAGAAAGGCACATTACAAATAAAATGTATTATTATTATTATATTATAAATGCAGCCTTGGTGCAAGAGACGCATTTCAAAATAATGAAAAAATCTTAGACCAAACTTTTGAATGGTAGTAACTGAATTTATATTCCTGACATCTTAAATCTGTAGTTCAATGAAATCCTAAATCAGTAGTTTACTGGAATCTCAAATCAGTGGTTACTAAACACGTCACATTTACAGATCATAGAACTTTCACTCAAGTGCTTTATTGAAATATCAAATCGAAAAGAAAAAAAGATAAAATTTGGCAAATAAGACTACATAAAATCTTTAAAAAATATATATAAGTGGTTTATTAAATTCTCAGATCTGTACCTACGGAGATCTCCAATCAATTTTTACTGAAATCTAAAATCAGTCATCTGCCCATGACAATTCCTTATATGGAGAAAGGTAAAAGGTTTAAAAACACTGAAATGGCATGTATAAGTGCAGCTGATCTTACTTAAGATGTCCTCTGTGTTGTAATCGTCCTCCAGAGGAAGCATGTGTGTGAACTGGTCCTCTTCCTCCACTAGGTCAAGCCCATCTGGGATAATAGGGTGGTCCTTAAACCCATCCTTCCTGATGGCAAACATCACCTCAATCATGTACTGTACACGCTTATCTATCTCTGATTCATGCAAGATGTTCCTCAGACGTTCAAAGATAGCTGAAAAATATGACAATGTAGACATAACACAAGATAAAATCATCCATTCAATAATAGCCAAAAAATAAATAAATAAATGAAATAGCAAGTAATGTACCATTGATGCCTCGGGGTGAGACCTCTGTCAGTTTGAGACCACACTCTTTTAGAAAGCTGATGGCGACTTCCACACTGTCATCAGTGGGTCTTTCCAACAGCAGAGTTAACATCTCTAGACACAGGACTTCATGAGCCTTGAGACAAAGAAATGCAATTACGCACTACACAATAAACTGTGGTTTATAGACAAAAATCTGTTAAAAGGACCAGAAAGACATACCACATTCTGGTTGATGAGATGAGCCACGAACTTGGATGCTGTAAGACATTGTTGCTGAAAAGATAGAAATAAAAATGAGAATGCCATTTAAATTGGTGCTCCATTTAGTACCCAGCTTCCTAAAGACTTACTTTATCATTCCTCCTGTAACCTTTCCGGAAATTGAGGATAAGTCTCTTGAGAATAAGTTCTCCGATCTGAGGAAACTTGGAGTTGATGATGGCCACCACAGCAGCGTACACATGGGTGAAGATGGGAGAGGCAGCCTGGGCCTGAAGTGTAGACCTGGCCAGAAGACCCCTGGAGAGAGACACGCCCGGACCAATAACAATTAGTCAAACATATGAGCTGTCTTACTGTTTCCTGCCTACACAGGGAGCATCCTAACTTAAATGAAACCTCATAAGTGACTGGTTTAGACATTTACATGGGTATCAACTCATGCATCATACAAATATCATTGGAGACTCAACTTCACAACTGATTTCAATGGAACTTGGTGTATACACTACCATACATTTGAGGTCAGTGCAATTTTGTTTTTGGAGAATATCATTCTATTCAGCAAGAATCCATAAAATGCATTAAAACTGACAGTAAACATTTATAATGTTACAAAACATTCCATTTAAAAAATTGCTGTTTTTTTTTCTATTCATTAAAGATTTCTGAAAAAATGTCATGGTTTCCACAAAAATATTTACATTTACATTTAGTCATTTAGCAGTCGCTTTTATCCAAAGCGACTAACAAATGAGGACAATGGAAGCAATCAAAAACAACAAAAGAGCAATGATACGCAAGTGATATAACAAGTCTCAGTTAGCTTAACGTAGTACACGTAGCAAGGTTTTTTTAATTATATAAAAAGAAAAAGAAAAACAGATAGAATAGAAAAGGAATAGAGCAAGCTAGTGTTAGAGCCCTTTTTGCTTTTGCTAATTGTATAATAAATAAAAAGAAAATAAATAGATAGAATACAAAAAGAATAGAGAAGCTAGTGTTAGTTTTTTTTTTTTTTAAAGGGGTTATATGATGCCATTTACATTTTTCCTTTCTCTGTGGAGTGTTAACAAGCTCAGAGCATAAAGAAGGTCTGTAAAGTTGCAAAGACTAAAGTCTCAAATCCAAAGAGATATTCTTTATAAAAGTTAAGAGTCAACCACGCCTACCTAAAACGGCTCATTCTAACACGCTCCCACGTCTACGTAACGATGTGGGAAGATTTGCATAACGCCGCCCAAATGTTCACGCAAAGAAAGAAGGCATAACTTTTATTCTCACTGTAGTATTATTGCTGCCGCCATGTCGTGAAGGCGCTGTGTGCTTCGTTGTGAAAGCGAAACTACTTTGTTTGG